GGAGAAGGATAAAGTCTTCTGGTGCCTCGAATGGAATTGAGAGGGATTTAAACTCAGCGCTTTTGAGTGTGGAGAAATGAACCCAGCAGTACATTAATGCTAGGATTTGAGCTCACACAGCATGAAGCGCTTTCAAAAACTGTGTTTAAGGAAGCAAACAGAGCCACGACAGACCCTTTCAGTGGAGCAAAAGGAGTTGGATGAAACAATCAATGACACATTAAAAACCACAACTGGGCTGCAGTCATGTGCACAGGGAAAAATAAGTTCCTCTTTATCACAGGATCTTCGCATCTAATGAGATGGAGACTGGACAACCTCCAGAGGAGCAAGGCCTCCGTTTGCTTGAGCTGAGAAACATCTAAATATTTAGTCGATTGTCTAAAAAGCCCTACATGATTCTGTAGCAAACTGGTCTAAGGGATGATCTTACCAGCTCTAAACTGGTCTAAGGGATGATCTTACCAGCTTTAAACTGGTCTAAGGGATGATCTTACCAGCTCTAAACCACCATTGGGAAAATCTATTTAAGGGACTTTGGAAAAGTCAGGAGACGTTACCATGGAAAATACAAACGATAATTAATTTCTTTTTCCTCTTAAAATTAACTGTTTTAATATTCTTCAAATAGTTGGTTTAGGATCTACACCTTGCCAGTGGTACTTTCTCTGAATAGGTTCTAAATTGTTCGTATGTATGCTTTAGTCCCATTGGTTCTGCCGGTGAAACATAAGCTGTGGTTTGGCAGACCCACTGTCCAGTTGGACCCTGAAGTGCTTGAAACCCAAAAGGACACTGACTCCGGAGTATTTTCTTGGCGGGGAGGGGTGAAAGGGGGAGCTAAGAAGGCTTAAGGAACTTTGTGGAAATGTCTTTGGAGGTTCACTGTTCAAATTCGCAACTTTGTGAAAATGTCTTTGGAGGTTCACTGTTCAAATTCGCACTACCGTCTTGTATTGGCAGATTTTAGCCAAGAAGGTTACCCAGTTCGCTCTAAGCTTCTGGGCTCCTCTGTGCCAGGAACCCAGTACATCTCAGATACGGTCTCATTAGGGGTTTTATTCATTTCAGATTTTCCGATGGTAGAGTCCCCTCCAGCACGCTATTCTTCATTAGTATTGCTTCCTGTGGACCCTGAGGAAGGATCACGGAGGTTTCTCCCCTCCCCCACTGCCTAGTCCCAGCTCCCGGCCACTTTGATTAATGTGTCTTGGCTAATTGTGTGAAAGATGGCAGCCCGTTAGCAAGTGTGACCAGTTTATTGTTCAGCCAATCACAGGAGCCTCGGTTAGCATGTGAAAAGAGGGTGTGTTGCCTGGGGAGGGTAAGTGTTCTGGCGGCTGAGTCAAAGGAGGAGCCTTTTGGGGGGTCAGAGAGCAACACCCACTTCTTTGAGGGGATGTTACTATGCTCTACTAAACCTGTAAACCTCTTACTCAAAGCACTTTCTTTCTCCTCCCTCTTTTTTCAGGGAGATCTTTTTTTCCCATGGTGCAAGCAGGCAAGACTCTGCAGATGGAGTTCACGTTTCCAGGGTTTTTAATATTTCGCTTTCATATTTCTGTTAGAGAATGATCCTGCTGAGAGTCTGGGAATCCGTGCTCGTCAGAACCCCCTTACTGACACTCAGATATATTGCTCTGAAAGCTATCCCAGGAGAGAAGATTAAACAACAACAAAAAAAGAGCCTACTTTTCAAAGCCTACTTCTCAATCTGCCCACATCAAAATAAGACAACTGGTCCTTTGAAGTGGAGGACACAGAGTTCTTAGCCAGCTTGCTTAAAATGGGAGGTGAAGGAGAAAGAAGGAAGGAAGAGAGGGAGGGAGGGAGGGAGGGAGGGAGGAAGGAGAGAAAGGCCAGTCTTCAAAATTATATATCCCTCTTATCTTGTCCACATTTAATCAGGCACAAGAGTCTTAACTGATAGCTAGAAAACCTACAACCCTGCTTGTCACAGCCCAAGAAAACAGGTAACTGGTAAGAGAAACCTGTCTGGCTAGATTAGCACCAGGTGGTTTTTTTTTTCCTGAACCTGTACAAACAGAAATTGTGTTGTCCTCCTAGACAGAATCCATACAGGGCCTGGAAATGGCAGAGTAGGTATGGATGGACACTAGATGGTTCTGCCAAGTTCTGAGCTCTCCCGCTCCCTCAAAATTGTACTGGCTATACTGAAAGTTCAGGGGCTCTTACTACTACTTAGAATGAAAAGGAAAGGAATGGAAATCATATACCGAATGGCGTGAACACAGTTCTCATCTGTAACATTTCTCTGGCTCCCATTCTCTCTTCTGCGCCCTTTTAATGGAGTCTCTGGGTGATACAAATGGTAAATGGGCTTGGCTGCTAACGGAAAGGTTGACAGTCCGAGTCCACCCAGAGGTGCCTCAGAAGAAAGCCCTGGTGATCAAAAAAAATCAGCCATTGAAAATCCTATGGAGCACAGGTCTACTCTGACATACATGAGGTTGCCATGAGTCAGAGTAGATTCCATGGCAACTGGTTTACCCCTTTAATAGGAGTTCAAGTGCATGGAAGCAGATGCAGTTCGGGCTGGGATGGGTATGGGAGGTGTTCAAAAGGGGCTTCTTGATTCACATAAGGGAATGTTCCTAGAACACAGATATTGATGATCCTTTTAAAACCTATTTGTCCACATAATTGATTTATCAGTAGTACCTCATGCCCAAGATAGGCTGGACTTTCAAGATTTACTAACATGGAGTTAGACATCTTGGCTGTGGCTAAGGTTACAACTCCCTTTCTTCCATAAGCTCAGCCTGGCACACAGCCACAAGCTGCCCAAGCCTATGGAAGCAGGGCTCACAGATGAGCATCCAAGGAATAAGGAGAGCTGGAGAAAGGATGTAGGTGAATGCATGAATACAAATGCAAGCTCTTGAGATCAAAGAACACACCTTATCCATCCATGCAGGCCCTGTACATCATACTGCACCTGACAGATAGTAGGCGCTCAAAAATTTTTTACTAATTTGAATTAAATCGAATTCTTATAAGAAAAACAATATAAAATATGTGCCCTATTAAAGTTGGGCCTGGAGAATTTTCTTCTTAAATAAAAAAATAGGCATTACTTTGAAATGCCAGCAAAATGAAAAATGTAACATATTTCTTCCTGTTTTATTGGAACCTAGTTATCTTATTTAGTATACAATCCAGTAGGAAAGAATCATTTTGGCCCATTTTCTATCATTATTGTTCTCACCAAAGCATTCTGTGCTAAGGATCACTGCTTACTGCCGGGACCAACCTGAAACCCAAATATTTGAGGTTTTGGGAACAGCATATGATCACCATGGCAACTTTGTCTTAACATCATTCCAATTATGTTTTCTAAAACCCACCTGGGACCCTAAACTTCTGCTTGCATCCATGTTAGGAAGCTGAGGAAGATAAAGGGGTCCCATTTCCATTTGGAGAGGAGGATATGTAGGGAGAGGTATTGGCAGGGTAGGAAAGGATGAGAACCAGGTTCTCCTGGAAACCATGGCAACTGGAGACAGCAGCTATTGCAGACTGGACCATAGTCTCACACCAAGCCTGTTATTATTCCCCCCTATTCCAAATGAAAGGATAAGGGCACTATTCTAAACTTTGTGGTCAGAGAGTAGCTTTTTTTCTCATGTGCTGAACTCTAGCAAAATAATTAGAAATGGTGAACCTTTTGTAAAGAACACTAAGGCCACTTAGCAATGGATATGACCATTCACAAAGCAACTGAAAGGACTTTACACTTAATCTTTATCCTGCTATAGGATCCCTGTAATCTTTGTGAGTTCAAGATGTCTGATCTCTACATACAGCTGTTTGAGCAAAACTATTAGATGCTGGAGAAAAGAAGGGGGAAAAAATTCCCCAACCTCCTATGTCTTCTATTTTCTCTTTAATCAATTTTTAACCTCACTACCATTTCCTTCTCTCATGAAACACTTCCAGAATCATTTCATACCAAAGTTAGTAATCATAAGAATTTGGAAAGAATCTGTAGTAATGGGACAATGTAAAAATATGAAGGCTAGAAAATCTGGCTTGAACCACATTCAGCCTAACCTTGTCCTTGTTTATAAGTATCTACCTTCCCTTTGATTCTGACAATAAGAGTTGAGCTTTGGTATGGCCATTACACTTGCTTCTCTAGCCTCTGATACAGCCCTTCATCCTCATTGCTTGTCTCTTTCCTTCTCTCTCAACATCCTTGAAAAGACTACTGGGTAATCTGACCCCTGTGGCTTGGCCATGGGACTCCTTAAAGACTTCCCCATGGGCAACAATTCTATCACTTCCTAATTCACCCCTCAGGAGCCAGTCTCGGAGAACCAAATGTGCAACAGAAAATTACTAAGTGTCAGGTCTAGAGGCAAAGGATGAATTCTTGGTAAGTATAACCTAGAGATATATTACCTGGCCTATCCTAGGCCTAGCGAGCCTCTAACTCCTTTGGTTACGTTAGCTTTCTTTTATACTTTATGAGATACAATCATCTAGCAAATAAACTCAGTGATAGTCATGGGGCTTAAATGTGAGACCATCTTTTAAGTTGTTCTTTTGTCATTTTGCCATTGTTGTTGTTAGGTGCCTTTGAGTTGGTTCCAACTCATAGTGATCCTATGTACAAGAAAACAAAACACTTCCAGGTCCTGTGCCATCCTCACAGTCGTTATGCTTGAACCCATTGTTGCAGCCACTGTGTCAATCCATCTTGTTCAGAAATGAATATGGAATCCATATAATAGTCATTGCAAATTCTTATCCAGTTTACTACTTGTCTTTTGCAGAGTTGGGGAACTATTCTAACCCTGACTACTGTTTCAGTGTCTTCACTTGTAAAAGGATTCCCTAGGGAATATATGACTCTAGAAATTTATCTAGACCTATTTTTGCTGTTGAGTTCACAATACAAACACCCTCCTTTTGTGGCCAATGCTCTCATTACATTGTTAATTATCAGGGCATTTGGAAGCTTAGGTCAATATTACCTGGATTGTAGTTAGGTAGCTTGGAGACTCCAGGCCAAGTATCCTCTGTAGGTACTCCCAACACCTATATAAAGACAAAGAAAGGTGAGATGGGAGGTGGATGAAGCAGGTACAGGTACATGAAAGACAGATTAGGGAGGAATAGGGAAGAAGTAGATGCATGTCACATTATACCAGCTGATGTGTTTCCAACATTGGTAGCTTCTTGGGCAAAACAGTAGTGTATTCCTATGGTCTTGAGCCTGTATCTTCACTAACTCACTTGTTATTCTAAGGCAGACCATATAGCCTTCCTTAAAGTTGTATCCTCGTCACTAAACACTTAATGCATGATGATCATGCGTCAGGATGCCATGTTGGGAGTTAGGGATTAAAGAGGTAAGAGTGACTGTCCTTTTGCCTTACATCAGATGACCATATGTATATTGACAGGACACACTTGACAGCGTAAATTATGCCTCAGCATGGGCATTCAGCTGTTCCCTGATGTGCTCAAATTAAAAAGGATTCAAGTTACTGACCTTTAAGCAGTGGAATGCTGGCTAAAAATGACCCCAGACCTCTCTACCAAACTCATCTCATCTGTTTATTTTCTCTGTGGTCCAGTAGCTTGGATATGGTATTTGGTTCATCACTGTTGGATTGTAATGGTAGCCAAATGAGTTGAAAAACAACTGGCCTATGCTTTGGATTTACCAAATTGAAGGTCTAGTTTCAATTAAGATGTTGGGTGAAAATAAATCTTATGGCGTACAAAGCCAAAAAAGTTCAGATTTTAGATGGAGCTGTCACTAGGACTCCCCCTGTAGGCATCATCTTACCCTTCTGTTAAGTATATTATCTGATAATCATAAAACCCATAGCCAGTAATATATGGGAGCCAAAGTAACATCTTTTTTTGTATTAGTAAAATATTAGTAAAAAATATATATTAGTAAAACACTAATAGATTTCATTACACCACTAAAATATAACTCTTCTTAGAATCATCTCTCGTGGAAAGAGACTAGCGACTCCACCTGTAAAGCACTGGATATAGATGCCAGCTCAATTGTTCTGGCAGGAAATCAATTGCCCAACATTGACTGAATATAATCAATGAAGAATCCAGAATCTTAATCTCTATCAGCTTGCTGACTAGGACTCTGGCTGAGAGGTACATATTTTGGTGCCTATTAAGCTTGCCGTTACACAAAAGATACTGAAGTGCTATTTTCCCTTATAATAAAAAAAAAATCATGCCACCCAGTAAAATCTTCCTTCTTTGATCCATTCCCTAAACAAACTGAAAAGCTACTGAAAGGATTATAGGCTTTTCCTATTAACCACCCTGAGCCTGAGGGAACTCTAAGAATCCCAGAGTCCATTTTGAAAAACCAACTGGACTAATTCTTCTTTTGTGGGAGACAGCCAGAGGATGGGGAACTAATTCTTCTTTTTTAACCCACCATCTTATGTCTTTGCACAAGTGCATGTGTAAACAAGTGGGTGTAAGTCACGTGTGCCCAAATGTCTTGTGTTGGCTGGAAAGCACAATGAAAAGAAAGAAAAGCAGTGACGAGAAAGCCTTAAAGGAAATAAATAATGGCTACATCCACATCTTCTCTAAGGTATAAGTTACCAGAATTGCTGGTTACACTGTACCATGTTTAACTAAAGCCAACAAAATGAATATTTTTTTTAATCTTTAAACTTGAGATTTTAAGTTTAAATAAAAAAAAAATGGAATATACTTTATTTGGGAAGTTGATGCTCAAGTTTCTATTTGGAAGTTATTGAATTCTTTTACACTTGAGAAAATTACTAAATCTTCACTGTTTGGGACACTAAAAACCAAAAATTGTTGATTTACTCCTTCCCTGAAGGCTGTTAAAAGGCAACTAGTGAATGTTATGTTTTAAGCACAGTGGGCTGGAGGAGCGGTTTATCTGCCTTTTTGGAGTGGAAACTAAAGGCATTTTGATGAATGAGTTTAAAGTCTACATAGTTTATTTTATTCTGATTTTAGAACTGAATCCAGGATTACCTGCTAACAAAAATTTCTTGAAAGAATTAGTTTAAAACAAATTGCTTAGAAAATGGTGACAGCTCCTCAGATGTAAAAATACACACACACAGAGTTCAGGAAGATGGTAAAGATTCAGCACTTTCCTTAATGTCTTTATTCCTAAGAGTGACTTCTCAGGATAAATGTAGAGGAAAATTGTGGATAGAGGTTGGGAGATGTAGAATGGACCCATTGCGTCAACAAAGCAATTCCTACATCAAATATCATAGAACCCAAAATAGCTCTTGTATTTCTCTCTGTGTAGACCACATTTAGTAAAACACAAATTCAGGGAGCTGTTGGTAATATGATTAATATTCTAACATGCTTGAGATGTAGTGGTATAAAAGACAACAGGGATCCTGAGTGTGGTGACTTTCACAGTTTGTCCTCAGATCTTGGAACTACAGATGTGATAACAAAACCGTGGTCTCCAAAGGGGTGGCTTCTGTCCAGAGGTGAGATGGGAAGGCAGAGAGAGTTAGGAGCTGGTTGAATGTTCATGGGGAGTCAGGGGTGGAGGGGAGGAATGTGCTGTCGCAGAATGGGGTGAGCGGTTAGGGTCTCATAACAATGTATGTAAAAAAAAAAAATTCTGTATGGGAGACTAACTTGAAATGTAAACTTCATTTAATTACAACAACTAAAAAAAAAAAAACAACTGTGGTCTCTACCTGCTTGAACAGGACAAGAGGAAAATAAAATTTAATGAATCTGGCCTTCTGGTGCCCATAAAGTATAGCTAAGAAATATGGAGCTATCTCCTTGAAGTACAGGTTGAAAGTCAACAATGAGCTATGTAGATTGATAAACAGGAAAAAATAACTTACTGGGGGTAACATCGAATGAACAGAGAAGAATATTGATTACAAATGGTGGGAGTGACAACATTCCCTTTAAACTTTGTTCAAAGAAGTCGCAACTTCACAGAATCAGAGAATCAAATACAATTTAAGGCCAGGGGAGGTTGGTTATGTGATTTGCTCTACTTTGTATCTCGTTAGAGCTGAGTTTGGAACTTACGTCCTCTGACTCCAGGCCAGTGTTATTTCTAGTATGTTTATTTATTTTAAATTTGTAATGAGCTGTCATAAATGTCAAAATAAAGTCCCTTTGATTTACTGTAGTGTGATAAAGATAATGGTAGAAATGAACATGGCTTCCTGGGCAGGACTTGTTGGACTGATTTGTTAAGACGTGTTTTTTTTTGTTTTTTTTTTCTGCATCATTCGTTCTTTGGTACGTTCTGTCCAGATTCAAGTCCAAACTCATTTAAATACTGAATTACCTAAAATATCCTACAGATGGCCAGTGTTATTCACTAAGGCCAGTTCTGGAAACTTGAACTTTCCTATCAGATCCTGGGAAACATCTAGCCTATGCTTTCTGTTCCAGAATTTCTAAGTGCTGTAGTGGTTAAGAGCTCAGTTGCTAACCAGCGATTTGAATCCATCAGCCACTGCTTGGAAATCCTATGCGGCAGTTCTCCTCTGTCCTATAGAGTTGCTATGAGCTGGAATCAACTTGACCGCAACAGGTTTTGTTTTTTTTTGGAGGGTGGGAGGTGTTAAATGCAAAGCATTGTAAATGATTCCTTTTAAGAGCATGGCCATTTAAAAATAGTAATATTAAAAATTAGTTTATATACAACTTTTCAAATATACTAAAACACGTAAGAATATGCTAATATTAATGCTTTTCAAATAAAACAGTTGCCATTGAGTTGATTCTGACTCAACGGCAACCCCATGTGCGTCAGAGTAGAAGGATGTACCTAAGTAGCAACAGCAGAAATTGCCCTCGGAGGTTGAGATAATAATAATAATAGAGAGCGGGAGACCTGAATGTCATCAGTGAGGTGGATTGATGGGCTGCTGTGGGCCAACCGAGGGTTTCCTGACCACTCATTCCCAAGGTGCTTACATCTATGACAAACACCACCTTAATATATGGCTCCATGTCTCAAAGCAGATGGACTGCTTCATTCTCCTCTAAGGCAAATTAGGTTCAAAGTTTGAAATGTAGTTATTTCCTTTAAAACTTAGGAAGAATTCTTCTCTTACCTCCCAGATCTTCTCCAGCTGTTCAAGGATGTTGGAAACCCCAGGAAACAAAGGTTGACCCTGGAACATTTCAATAAAGATACAGCCTGCACCCCTAGTGAAGGAAACAAGAGTCAAACCAACGCTTTCAAGAAAACCATATACGTGAAACACAACTACTAGCACTTCTCCTCCCAAGAAGTATTTCGGAGACAGTTAAATAGGGCCACATGCTATTAAAAGTCTTGGGCAACGAAAAGAGTCCCTACATCAAACAAAATTAAGAACAGCCTGCAGATTTTTTGTTAAAATGGGACACAACCAGCAGTTAGGAACACAGTATAGATAGCAAACATTTTAGCTTATTAGCCATCTATTTTATGAGAAGGGGAGAAAGTACTGAACCCCAAATTTAACACCTTCATTTATTGAATGTAAGATGAAATCAATTGTAAGAGGCACCATTATTTTATGTACCATTAAAAAACCAAAGCAAAAACAAAACAAAAAACCTCTGCAAATTAAATATGACATGATGACCAGAATGTTTATTTTATATTTATTGAAATGGTTTTATAAATTTAATTACACATAGATATTTTTATCATATAGCATACTTGTATGTGCAAAAAAAAAAAGAAAGGAACATAAGTGAAATAAATTGGTTCAGGTGTTCCTAAAACTTTTTTACATTCAGCATTCAGCTCAGACTCTTTGATGTCTATGTTTACCCATGGCATCATTCACTGTATCAGGAGTTTGATGATGTAGCATTTCTTAAAAGAATCTATAAAAGAACTAAGAGCCAGTGGTACTGGACTCCTGAAGTGGATTTGCAATTACATAGAATTAGCCTGCTTTTGACTCCTGCTTAAAGAATGTTGCTAAGCATGTGTGATTCACTCTCTTCCCACAACCGTTTGGTTCCTAGAGTTTTTTTTTTTTTTTTTTTTTTAAAAAAAAGCTTTCTTGTCTGCAAGATTTTCTTCCAAGTCACTGACACTCATTCTGCAAATTTTGATGCTGGCATGTTTGATGTTCACGCATGTGCAATGGTAAGTACCAACTGCAGCCTGGCTGACTGCTATTGTAAAATGGACTGATTTTAAGAAGCATCCAGGCTTAATAGAAAATGTGCATCTTAAGATAGATTAAATAGGATTAAAATAGAATTTCTTTCCTATGTGGTCAAACCAGAGGATAATTTCTGAGGGATAGTGAGGAGTAAGATTTATTGTGTTAATAATTCAAATTTTAATTCTTACAAGTCTTTTGAGTGATAAAGTGGTTTAGACAACCAGTCAATTACAGAGATTATGCCCTTCATCCAATACTTCCCTTTTTTTTTTTTTTTTTGATTTCCAAACCCTTTTAACCAATACCACAAAGTTTTGCAAGCTTCCTTCAATCGTTTTGCCATTTTTTGTGTGGCATCAAAAAGAAGAAATTTTAAGTAAAGTATTTTATTATAGATGAACATATCACTAAAGATTTATTATCAAGCTCATTTTAAATATGATCTTTAATGTTGTTTACATATATTCATTACATATGGTAAATTTGACTTTTTCCATCTGACTATAGACACACATGGAAACCCTGATGGCATAGTGGTTAAGAATTCAGCTGCTAACCAGAAGGCTGGCAGTTTGAATCTACCAAGTGCTCCTTGGAAACCTGCTAATTAATTTATCTTAAATTAATTGTGTAGGAGAAAGCAGACTTCTTTCTTTCTTTCTTTTCAATTTTATTATGTTTAGGTGAACGTCTACAGCACAAATTAGTTTCTCATTTTATACGCAAACTGTTTTGTGACATTGGTTGCAATCCCCACCAATGTGTCAGCATTCTCCCCTTTCCACCCCGGGTTGACTGTTTCGATTCTTCCAGTTTTCCTGTCCCTTCCTGCCTTCTCATCTTTGCTGTTGGGCAGGTAGCGCGTTTGTTCTCACATACCTGATTGATCCAAGAAGCACATAGCTTCAGTTCTGAGTTAGCAGGGTGTTCGGGGGCCATAGTCTTGTTGGTTCCTTCAATCTCTGTCAGACCAGTAAGTCTGGTCTTTTTTTCATGAATTTGAATTTTGTTCTACATTTTTCTCCTGCTCTGTCCAGGACCCTCTATCGTGATCCCTGTCAGAGTGGTCAGTGGTGGTAGCCAGGCACCGACTAGTTCTTCTGGGTTCGGGCTGGTGGAGACTGTGGTACATGTGCCCCATTAGTCCTTTGGACTAGTATTTTTCCTTGTGTCTTTGTTTTTCTTCATCCTCCTTTGCTCCAGATGGGATGGGGCCAATAGATGTATCTTACATGGCTGCTCGCAAGCTTTTAAGACCCCAGACGCTACTCACCAAAGTAGGATGTAGAACATTTTCTTTATGAACTATGTTATATCAATTGACCTAGATGCCCCCTGACACTATGGTCCCCAGCCCTCAGCCCCAGTAACCCTCAGGGTGTTTGGACATGTCTAGGAAGCTTCTATGACTTTGCCTTGGTCAAGTTGTGCTGACTTCCCCTATGTTGTGTGTTGTCTTTCCCTTCACCAAAGTTAACACGTGTCTACTATCTAGTTAGTGATTCCTCCTTCCCATCCTTCCCCTCCCTCATAACCATAAAGATGGCTTTTTTCTGTGTGTAAACCTTTTCTTGAGTTTTTGTAATAGTGGTCTCATATGGTATTTGTCCTTTTGTGACTGACTTATTTCACTTAGCATAATACCCTCCAGATTCATCCATATTGTGAGATGTTTTGCAGATTCATCATTGTTCTTTATCATTGCATAGTATTCCATTGTGTGTATGTACCATAATTTGTTTTTCCATTCATCTGTTGATGGGAACTTAGGTTGTTTCCATCCTTTTGCTATTGTGAATAATGCTGCAATGAACATGGATGTGCATATGTCTATTCATGTGACAACCCTTATGTCTCTAGGATATATTTCTAGGAGTGAGATTGCTCGATCATATAGTATTTCTATTTCTAGCTTTTCAAGGAGGAACCATATCATTTTCCATAGTGGTTGTACCATTTTACATTCCCACCAGGAGTGCGTAAGAGTTACAATCTTCCCACAACCTCTCCAGTATTTGTTATTTTCTGGCTTTTTTTAAATTAGTGCCAGTAATGTTGAGGTGAGATGGTATCTCATTGTAGTTTTGATTTGCATTCTCTAATGGCTAATGATTGTGAGCACTTCCTCATATGTCTACTAGCCTCCTGGATGTTTTCTTTGGTAAAGTCTCTATTCCTGTCCTTTGCCCATTTTTAATTGGATTATTTGTCTTTTTGTTATTGAAGTGTTGAAGTAGTCTATAGATTTTAGAGATTAGACCTTTGTCTGATATGTTGTAGCCAAAGAATTTTCCCCAGTCTTTAGGTTCTCTTTTTACTTTTTTGGTGAAGTCTTTTTATGAGCATAAGTGTTTAATTTTTTGGAGCTCCCAGTTATCTAGCTTATCTTCTGGTGTTTGTGCATTGTTAGTTATCATTTGTATTGTATTTATGCCACGTATTAGGGCCCCTAGCATTGTCCCTATTTTTTATTCCATGATCTTTATCATTTTAGGTAGAAAGAAGATTTCTTGACAAACAAATTAAAAAATAATTTTTATATTTTGTCTGGCTTGGGGGCAGAATATATATTAAAAGATTGAAATTTATGTTAGCATGCCAAAATAGACAAAAACTATTTTCATGACCTGACATTTGGTTTTTACTTAAAATAATCAATTAGTTTATTCTTAGAATTTTCTAAGGTATCAGACTGAGCTTTGCAAGACTTTTTTTTTCTTTTCTCAAACAATAGGTTATTCCCAATTTTTAGAAAGTCAATTATTTTCTTCACTAATTTTTGAAGTATAAGAGACGTTTTGATACAAGAGTATTAATCAGACAAATGCAACTTATGAATCTGGTGAAGAGTCTCTTGAGGTGAATTTTTGGAATTATTGTCATTTTTAAGCCCTTCATTAACTTGAATTTAAATATACATGTTCTTTTTGCTTCCAGTCTTTAAAACAACAGATACAAAAGGTATAAATTAGACAATATATGGAGGAAAATAAAAGTAAAGGAGAACTGTCTAGTGGTTAAAAACCATCCCGGTCACTAGCAACAGTCAACTAAGAGATAAACCAACTAAGAAACCAAATTGGTGAGAACCATCAAATGGTTTCCACCTACTACTCCCCATGCTTTCTCAGTATGCATTTGGAAGGTCTCAAACCGTTCCATTGTGAAGTGATGTGTGTGGGTGTGTAAAATATAGATGTAATTGTTTTATTAATTGATTATAAAATAGAAATGAAACTGTAATGGCTTTTGAAGACTTGAATCCACCCATCCCCAAACACCTTCCAGAAACCCCAGGAGCTCACAAACCACTAGTCGGAGATGTGCTGTGAGTATTTTAAACAAGGTTAAAAAAACACAGTCATTCTTAGGTTTAAACGTGTAGTTCACATCCCCTCTGCCTCACCCCTGCCCCCACCAACAAAAAAAAAAAAAAAAAAAAAAAAAGGCTTTCACGATCTAGAAAAAGCTTGCTGCCTTTTCATGGTGTCTTTTCATACTGGTCATTATGGGAAACCAAGAAAGAAGTCTTTTGTCACACAATTTCTTAGTGTCTTTTAACTTCTACACTCCTAGGGCTGTGCTCAAAGTTATGTAAAATATATTACAGAAAACTAGAAAATTTAGACCATTATGCAAGTACTACATATTAAAAGATGTTTGTGTTATGGAGATAAAATGCTAATATATGGTTGGAAATTCTCCATTTGCATTTGGATGGATGCCATATAGGCATTCTTTTGAGTCTCTTTTTAAGCTTTACTTAGGGACAGGGTGATACTTTTCCTTACCTAAGAAATCTACAGTCTAAGGTTACTCATTTATTTATATATTGTGTGTGTGTGTGTGTGTGTGCGCGTGCGCGCGCACAAGCACATGTGTATAAACATTACTGATTAGTAGTCTCAACATTTAGAACACTTGCAAGGCAAACAGAATTCCTAAATCAATTATATTTCAGCACGTGGAATCCTGCATAAATATGTATGCATTGATAGGAAAATGCGTTGTTTACCTTAAGTTTGAAAGATGGAAGAT